ACTCATGTTGAGCAATGCCAACTCCAAGTCCTGTGTCCAAAGTATGTCATGTCTTCAGCAATAGGATCTTACTTTCAAGTTCTATGAGACAATTAAAGGCTGTTATTTCCAGAGTCTCTTAGACTACCCTGACCAGCAACTTAGTAGGAGGTATCTCCTGTCTGGCATTGTTTCTTGTTATATAGCCTTAAGCTGTACACATGGATTCTTAAAGAATTATACTGATCACTTTAATCTTTGGTTATACTTGCCTTTTGGGTGTTTAAGACCATACAGCTGGCCCAAATAAACCAATTTATTTTTACTCTTAAGATCATTTGAGGATCTCTTCCTCAGGGGTCATGTGGGCTTGGAAGGAGTCCCTGGCTCTTTTCTTTTACCAGTTCCAGCTATGTCACGATAAGTCAAAGGTCCTGCTCAACTGTGGCTGGCTTCACTTGGAAGCATGGTGGAAATGTTTCCTCTGTGTTGACCCTCCTCTGTGTAGACTGGACACTGGTTCAAGTCCATCTCATGGGGTCTCCACGGCCTCCTTGATCAAGAGGACAGGTGGCTTACTACAGTTACAGGACATTTTGAGAGATGCTCCGTAGTCCCTGGAATTTAGTTGACCTTGAAGGGCAAGGGGCAAAAACTGTCCTTTAAGTCCCTTTGACCAAATTAGTATAGTCCTCAAAGTATGACTGTTAGACATCCAATAATGTTAGTTCCACCAGTCTGGTGCTTTTAATTATCATGAGCTATATAGATAAGGATTGGGTAAAAAATCAAATATTCTCAGATAAACCTTGACTAGCTATATATTTTGTTCTTTAAACTAGTGGACTAAACTATGACCATAGAAAATTTAAGATTATGTGCATATTGTGTTTCATTCTTTATGTGACAAACCTAAACAGACCTTCATCACTTGCTTAGGCTTTCTCATTTTTTCTTCATCTCCCATATCCTTTTAACATCTTTTACATTCTCATTTTCTTTTTTAAATAATTGTGAGACATAATATCATTAACAAATAAATTTTCCATCTGTTGTGAGACTTCTTTTCCTGGGGATGTTAAGCAATGCTTATTCCCTTTTAAGGTTCTGGTGTCAAGCCAATGTTGACTAAAGTTTTACCGGGGAACCAATGAATTTATTGAGCTTGCTTACCATAATAACTGAGGGGTTGCTGAGGTGTATGTATGACCCAAGGGTATACACACTGGAAAGCCTTAACCCACCATGGGTCATGCCAGGGAGCTAATTCTTTAACTGATCGTGGGCTACCTCCCCTGCATTCAATCACCTTCATCTGTTACCGCCTTCATCTAGAAATCAGAAAACCTTAGTCAGCCTTGCATTTCTGTGCCTTGGTAACTCTTCTTTTGCTCCCCCAGGTGTGGCCTCCAATGATGATTCTCTTTATTAGGTAAGCACTTTCACTGACTATTTTCTCCTGGAAATGTCACTGGAGAGAATGGTATTTCTCCCCGAGTACCATTATATTTCTCCAATATATCATCAAAATGTTACAATATGCCTTCACAATGTTCCCTTGTCACATCAAACCCTCAAATGTGACAACACAATGCTCAATGGTGCCATCACACTGTTACATTCTGACTTCACAGTGCTCCATTGTGACGTCACAATGATTCAATATGCCAAAACTCTCGTCCCATGTGCCATTACATTGCTCTGTATGCCACCACAATGTTACAATATGTCTTCACAATGTTCCATTGTGACGTCACAATTACCCAGTGTGACATCACAATGCTCCGATGTGACATCACGTTATTCCAAAATGCCATTCAGAGTGTTACAGTATGACTTCACAATGTTCAAATTTGACTTCACAATGCATCAAAATGACACCACAATGCTACAAAGTGCCAACACTAACTCCCCGAGTACCATTATATTTCTCCAATATATCATCAAAATGTTACAATATGCCTTCACAATGTTCCCTTGTCACATCAAACCCTCAAATGTGACAACACAATGCTCAATGGTGCCATCACACTGTTACATTCTGACTTCACAGTGCTCCATTGTGACGTCACAATGATTCAATATGCCAAAACTCTCGTCCCATGTGCCATTACATTGCTCTGTATGCCACCACAATGTTACAATATGTCTTCACAATGTTCCATTGTGACGTCACAATTACCCAGTGTGACATCACAATGCTCCGATGTGACATCACGTTATTCCAAAATGCCATTCAGAGTGTTACAGTATGACTTCACAATGTTCAAATTTGACTTCACAATGCATCAAAATGACACCACAATGCTACAAAGTGCCAACACTAACTCCCCGAGTACCATTATATTTCTCCAATATATCATCAAAATGTTACAATATGCCTTCACAATGTTCCCTTGTCACATCAAACCCTCAAATGTGACAACACAATGCTCAATGGTGCCATCACACTGTTACATTCTGACTTCACAGTGCTCCATTGTGACGTCACAATGATTCAATATGCCAAAACTCTCGTCCCATGTGCCATTACATTGCTCTGTATGCCACCACAATGTTACAATATGTCTTCACAATGTTCCATTGTGACGTCACAATTACCCAGTGTGACATCACAATGCTCCGATGTGACATCACGTTATTCCAAAATGCCATTCAGAGTGTTACAGTATGACTTCACAATGTTCAAATTTGACTTCACAATGCATCAAAATGACACCACAATGCTACAAAGTGCCAACACTAACTCCCCGAGTACCATTATATTTCTCCAATATATCATCAAAATGTTACAATATGCCTTCACAATGTTCCCTTGTCACATCAAACCCTCAAATGTGACAACACAATGCTCAATGGTGCCATCACACTGTTACATTCTGACTTCACAGTGCTCCATTGTGACGTCACAATGATTCAATATGCCAAAACTCTCGTCCCATGTGCCATTACATTGCTCTGTATGCCACCACAATGTTACAATATGTCTTCACAATGTTCCATTGTGACGTCACAATTACCCAGTGTGACATCACAATGCTCCGATGTGACATCAGGTTATTCCAAAATGCCATTCAGAGTGTTAGAATATGACTTCACAATGTTCAAATTTGACTTCACAATGCTTCAATATGAAAATACAATGCACCAAAGTGCCAACACGAACTCACCAAGTGCCATTATATACCTCCAATATATCCTCACAATGTTACAATATACCTTTTCACAATGTTCCCTTGTCACACCACAGTCCTCAAATGTAACATCACAAGGCTCCATGGTTCCATCACAGTGTTTCAATCTGACTTTACAATGCTCCATTGGGACGTCACAAAGATCCATTGGGACGTCACAATGCTCTAGTGTGACAACACCCTCGCCACAATAGCCACTATATTGCTCCATATGCCATCACAAGTTTACAATATCTCTTCATAGTGTTCCATTGTGACATCGCAATTATCCAGTGTTACATCACAATGCCCCAATGTGACATCACAATGCATCAGTGTGCCATCAGAATATTCGAAATGCCACTTAGAGTGTTACTGTATGACTTCACAATGTTAAAATTTGACTTCACAACGCATCAAAATGACACCACAATGCTACAAAGTGCCAACACTAACTCCCCAAGTGCCATTATATTTCTCCAATATATCATCAAAATGTCACAATATGCCTTCACATCACTATCCTCAAATGTGACATCACAATGATTCAAGGTGCCATCACACTGTTACAATCTGACATAACAATGCTGCTGCTGGTGGATGTAGCCAGGCCCTCCATATACAGAATGTAAATTACCCATCCCTTCTGGAGGTAAAATTGGATTGTCAGGGCTGGAGAGATGGCTCAGGGCTTAAGAACACTGTCTGTTCTTACAAAAGACCCAGGTTCGAATCCCAATACCCGCATAGTAGCTAACAACTCCAGTTTCAGGGGATCTGACAGCCTCTTCTGTCCTCCATGGGCATTGTATGACATAGGTGCACTTACATACATGCAGGCAATACATACATACACATAAAATAAAAATAATATTTTTTAACAAAATAAAATTGGGTTGTCTACAGGGTCTCACCAGACCAAGAAACTCTGCAGTTTTGTGCAGAGCGATATGGCCAGGCTGCTGGCACTGTGTAAGAAAGGTGGGGCATTATAAACATATATAATTACCTGTCTGTGCATAAAATACCTCTAGAATGATTCACAAGGAAATGGTTTTGTTGGGGACAGAGATGGGAGAGATCTTTTCCTTTTTGCATTTCAAACCATAGTTAATTTTTTTATTTTTTTCTTTCTTCCTTCCTCCCTCTTTCTCCCTACCTCTCTTTCTTTCTGAAACGGGGTCTCATGTAGCCCAGGCTTACCTCAAACTCTCCATGCAATGAAGGATATCCTTGAACTCCTGATCTTTCTGCCCCCACCTCCAAAGTGTTAGGATTACAGGCATGGTTTAGGATTTTTGAAAGGTAATTAAAAATAGAGACTGGAAAAAGAGCTAGCTTAATTGCTTATAACTCTAGTTCCTGAGGTGATTGGATGCCGTCTTGTGGCCTTTGTGGGCACCCCTCACACACACACATTAAAAATAAAAATAAATCTTAAAAAAAATTTTTTTATGGATTTCAGGATGGGGGTGTAACTTGGTGGCAGGGCACTTATATTGCAAGCACAGAGCCCTGGTTCTGTCTCCTGCACTGTTGCTTTTGGTGGAGAAACCCAATAGGTATATCCCTGTGTGCTTAAGGTAAGCCTCACCATTCATTGGTGGTGGGCTTGTCACAGGTTTTTCCCCTCCATAGGATATTATGGGAAGGACACTTCACCTCTATAGTGGTCTTTTTAAAAACTTATAATCCTTACTATAGTGGCATCTGTTCACTTATATTCTCAGCACTTAGGAGGCAGAGGCAGGAGGCCCTAACCCTAACCCTAACCTATCCCTAACCATAATCCTAACCCTAACTCGAAACCAATCCCTAACAACACTAACCCTAACCCTAACACTATACCTAACCCTAACACTAACCCTATCCCTATCCCAAACTCTAACCCTAACCCTAACCCTAAACATATCCACAACCCATTCCCTAACCCTAAACCTAACCTTAATCATAATCTGATCCCTAACCCTACCCCTACCCCATCCCTAACCCTAATCCTAACCCTAATCCTATCCCTAACCTTAACAATCCTAAACCTATCCCTAACCCTAACCCTACCCCAACAGTAACCCTAACCCTAATCCTATCCCTATCCCAAACCCTAACCCTATCCCTAACCCCATACCTAAACCTACCCCTATCCCTAACCTTAACACTAACCCTAACCCTTAACCTAACCCTAACCCTACCCTAACCCTAATCCTAACCATAATCCTAACCCTATACCTAACCCTAACTATATCCCTATCCATAACATTAACCATACCCAAAACACTATCCCTAACCCTAACCCTATTCCTAACCCTAAACCTAATCCTAACCCTAACCCTATCCTTAACCCAAACCCTATCCCTAACCCTATTCCTAACCCTAACCCTAATCCTGACCTTACCTCTAACCCTAACTCTAATCCTATACCTATCCCAAACCCTAACCCTAAACCTTAACCCCAACCCCTAACCCTAAATCCTAACCCTAACCCTAACCCCTAACCCTAACACTAAAACCCTAACCCTAACCCTAACCCCAACCCTAACCCCTAATCTAGCCCTAACCCTAATCCCTAGCCCCTAACCCCTAACACTAACCCTAACCCTAAACGTATCCAGAAACCTATCCCTAAATCTAACCTTAACCTAATCCAATCCCTAACCCTAACCCTAACCCTAACCCCTAACCCCTATCCCCAACCCCAACCCCAACCCTAACACCCTAACCCTAAACCCTAAACCCTAACCTCTAACCCCCTAACCCCTAACACCCTAACCCTAACTCTCTAACCCTAACCCTAAAACCCTCCAGTATTCCTGACTGTCTGAGGCAGTTTAACATGAGCAGTGTTCAAAGCTAAGGCTTACAGAATCCATAAGATTGCACAAGGGGAGCGCTCCCAGAAACACCAAGATTCATTACAAATTTCATTTTGAATTAATTTTTTATCATTGCGCATTCAGAGAATTTTCTTTTGCTAAATTTTTCCTAAAATGCACACATTCACACGACTTCATGTGCTGTATACATCTCAGCCCTCAGTTTAATAAAGTAGAGAAACATGTTTAGATTTAATCCTATCAAGGTATCACAGCTGCAGCAACCTGCGGTCCCCACCCCTGCACCAAGCCAATAGCTAGTCTGTTGCTGTGGTAATTAGGGTGCCACTAGAAAGTCTGCCTGCCAATCAGGCACTGCGCTAGTCAGCCCGCGCCGCGCGGCGTCCTTCGGGCTCTAGGCGGACAGCCCTGCTCGGGGTCCTGGTGCGGTTGCGTAGCAGCCGCAGGGACGCGGCCCAGCCGCTAGTGTGGTGTGGTCTGCTGAGCAGGTGAGCTGAGCGGCTGGACTGAGCGGTCCGAGGGCTGTTTGGGGCAAGCGCGTCGGTGGCGTCCCGGGTCCCCCAGCCCTCGCGAGGCCGCAGTGAGAACAAAGCGCCCCTCGAGAGCCCCGGGCCTTGGGAGGATGGGGCTAGGCAAGGCAGTTGCGCGCGGCCTTACGGAAGGTGGCGGCCAGGCTTGGTGGGTGCCCAGAAACGTTTGCCTCTTGAAAGAGAACTTGCCCCCTAGACCGCGAGGACAGTGACCGCCACTAAAGCCGGGTTTGGGTTTCAAATGGATTGCCCTCCCTACAGGATGGAGGTGGAAGGGGCAGAGGCCTCACCATGCTCAATTGGGTTTACTCTAGAGCCTGACAATACTGCAGTGAGCAAGACTCACTTCCATGGTATGCTGAGGCAGTAGCTGTGCGGGAGCACAGTCTCGTGTATACTCAGGATCCTGTTGCTGTTTTCTGTCCTTGGCCGGCGTGCTCACCTCTATCATAGCCCTTACTGTGGTCCACTGCAAGGTCTGCTCATGTGACTGTTAAGTGAAGGCGAGTTTCTGCTGCTTTGTTGTTGCCATAGTATTATTTCTGTGTGCCCAGCTAGCTCAGAATCAGGTTGAAGTACCTTCTTAGAAATGTTTACCAAATAATTTTTGGGTATGAAGAGAGTGGAACAGGCTGGGGATGATGTTACATTGGGTGGTAGTGATGGGAATATACACGGTTTTAACTTGTGGCATGCCTGTATGCCCTAGTCTCCTAGTTACAAGCCTGGTGGACAATTACATATCTGAGTCAAGCAGTGAGTGAGTAATCTCAGCTTAGGTACTGTTTGCATCACCTTCATTTAGGAAATGGTTGAAACTAGAAGTTTAAAATAGAGTTTTGAGGAATACCCATGTTGAGGGAGGGTGATGTCAGCAGGTGGACAGAGAAGGGGGAGATACTAAAAAATGTGGTCAAGGCCGGGCGTGGTGGCACATGCCTTTAATCCCAGCACTTGAGAGGCAGAGGCA